TATTTGGAAATATATTCACTTTTAGATATTTTGGTACAAGCTTTTGATGAGTTAAATGGTTAAATATTTAGTAAAAAATTGTTTTGTATCACTTTTGGTCTATATTTAAATAGTTGTTATTATTAAAACTTACTAGTAAACTCACCCGTGCGATGCACGGTAGGAGAATTTTTCTTTCAAATTTTATTGTGCTCACTAATTCAAATTACACTATCAATTGATGACAACATCTGTCTCCATGGAATAGTGATATAGATCAAAACAATGAACGAAACACACTTATAATATTATGGTTAAAAAGAGAGCACTAACAATTACTTAAAAGATACTACGTAAAAAGCATCCAACAAATACGTAGAAACCATAACATTGTAAATATGCATTTCATGTAAACCTAAACATTGTTGAACACTTCTTTGAATACAACATTCTGAGTCTTGTCAGTGGATCCTTCATCTTCATCAACAATTAGAATTTTCAAACCATAACGATCGGTAACCCTTGATACTGCAACATATAACTGTGCCTGTGTAAATACCGGTTTTTTCAACAACAACCCAACACGGGACAAAGATTGACCTTGATTTTTATTTACAGTCATATCATATGGAGTCATAAAAGGATATTGTCGCCTTTGAAATTTGAAAGGCAAGCTGGCATCGGATGTGGTCAAGGACAATCTAGGAATTAATACTTTTTATCCAGCACTGACACCAGTTAAAATCTTCCCCTCCAAAACATGATCACTGAGCCTCGTTAGAATAACCCGAGTCCCGTTACATAATCCCATTGAATGATCTATATTTCGCAAAAGCATCACCGGGGTCCCTACCTTTAACGTTAACTCATGATTCGGTACACCGGATAATTTTATACTACTCAAAAGCATCTTAGTCAACCCAACAACTATAGCTTCATGTAACTTCCTTCTCCTACTATCAACACCACAACAAATGAAGAAGAATTAGATTTATAAAACCATTATATAAAGTACTATGAAATAAATGTAGACTCTTCTTACCCAACAGATGAAACTCTATTTTGAACCTCATTTTCCGTATCATAGATATACAATTGTGCAAACTTAGGATTTGATCTAGTTGGAGGCCACAGGCTCTCGATCAGGTGATAATTCTGCCCATGTAGTTTAAAAATTGGCGGAGACTTTCCCTTGTTGACATTTTGTGCAACTTTACCACCCATTGAGGTGAACGAAAACATGTTGTTGTATGTTTTGATGTTTCCAATGAAATGTTTGCTACGCTCATCAGAACCATGAATCAATTCATATAGGAATAAAGGTGATTCTTTCATAAAAGGCAATACCACCTTTCCTTGACAGCAACACTGAAAACCCCGACCCTGACCTTACATTTATGACTAATTCGGTAATTAATGACTAAATAGTAGGGTGACCGTACATTTTAGATGAATAGCCTCTGTAAACAGGCAAATTAGAGAGGGTGCAAATATGTGAAATTGTGTTATGTTATTCTTAAACTATTCTTAAATACGAAGTACAAATTTATGGGGAAATGTACAAATAGGACATTCTACTATTATACGTAGTATAAGACAAATTTAGGTATTTTTGCATTTTGTTTTTGAAATAATTACACAATTGTAACTAAAATAAAGATTGTTTATGAAAATGTGAACTGTTAAGTGTAGTGACTATAGTAGTTATTTTAATCATGTAACTTATGGTCAATTTTCACATCATGTGACAATGACATATGTAATTTTCATCTTATTTTTGTAAATTACTTTTAAATCATGTTACTTATGTTCAATAATTACTTTTATATCCATATATATGGTGATTATTTATTTATTTTATTAATTAAAAGTATTTTAAATATAATTTTTTTCATATATCAGCACAATCAACTAATGCACCAATTTCAACCCTAGAACTTTAAGAATTTTAATAGAATTAATCTATTCAGCCAATTTGAATTATAATCGAGGAACATTTACCTAGTTCATTAAGAAGAACGGATATACAATAAAGGGGAGGGTATAGGCCTAGCCCCAAATCCAAAAAACCAAAGAGATAATGATGAATAAAAACACATCTTGGGCCAAGTGGGCTCTCAAATGGTTCAGCCCAAAGGATGTCGCACAGCCTCAGGCACAATAAGCCCCAGTCGTCTTTTCGCGTCCAACTTAGAGAGAGAAGGTGCGAGGAAAATCTGGACTTCTCTGGTGCTTACCCTGCGTCCTGGAACAGGATCTCGTTGGGGGAGAGGGAAGGCTGAACTCCTGCTATCCGAGGGTGTTGTTTGCCGGCAATGAAAGGCGTTGGTGAAGAAATTTCGGGCTTGAGGATAGTGACGTTTGTTTCCATGGTTTGAGCACGACTGGGGCTCCTGGTGTTGTCTGCCACCTGGATGTGTGATTGCATAATGTGAAGGCATCCCGTCAGGGTTTTCTTCCTTATGTTCGTTTCGTGCGTTTGTTTTGGTTTGATCTGACAATTTCGTGTTCTGATTTTGTGCGTCTTTTGGGTTTGGGTTTAAGACACGAAAGATTGCGTTTGGTTTTTTTTTGTTTGTGTGTTGTTGAAGTATTCGCCATGCTTGAGTTCGTTCTATGTGGAGATCACATTGCCTGAATTCATCTTTCAAGCTTTCAGATTACTTAACAATACATTCACATTGAAAACCTATGAAAAATTTTACAATCTCATATTAGAGAGGAACGCCTTGGAATTTGTATATCTTATTTTATAAATTTAAACATTTCTACTCTATTTTAAACAATACATTCACACTGTATTGTTAAATGGATCCATTTTTATACCAATTTGTAAAGTTTGTAATCTAATAATTAGAAGGGAGCTGCAGAGAGCACAAATATGTTTCTAAGACTGCCTTTTTAATTTTGTGATTTAGTTATGCTTGGACTTACATTTTCGTATAAAGCATATAAACCAACGAATGATCAAAATTACTAAATAATTACATTTTTAGAGTACATGTGCTTGAACACTAACTATTACAAAATCATTATTACAAAATTTTCATAAAATTTCGCGATGAATTGCTTAGGAATGTGAGCATGTAGCTTTGACACCTATAGATTTTTTTATCAATGAAATAACCTTATAAGAAGACATAAATATGAACCTTTATACATAACCTCATCATGAAATCTCATTTCTAGTGAACTGGGACCATAATGAGCAGGCTCTCAGTGCATCCTAACACCCTAATTTCTCTTGCTTTCATATCTCTTGTGGTTTTGGAGTAGAGATCACATTTCAACCATTTTGGGAGAAAAATTCTACAATTTGCTGTGAGAGCTTGTTGTGGGAGCGTTTTGCAGTGAGCAAGTGTGATGCAATCATTCGATACAACTATGCTTTTATAGCCAAAGTTTTCATTGATAAATTTGGTTGCCTAAAAACATGCATGGGGAACCTGCGAGCATGAGTCATGTCAGGAAAACTCAAAGAGTAAACTACACGCATAAGATTTATTAAGATACTGCACTTTGGTGACCATGGGCTCTTATATCTTCATCAATATATTTGTATTTTTATATTCATTTCAATGTGTGTGGGACCTTCAGAAAAAAACTTTTCCCTAAGCTGTGGGCGTTGCGTACAAGCATGACTATGTGTAATCAACAATACTGTACGCATCATCTTTTAGCATGGGAATGTGTAATCCATATCACTGTAGCCACTACTTCATCCCTACATTACATTCATCTAAGTGTAATCAACATTACTGTATCCACCAGTACTATATCCACCACTTGTCCACTTGGAACGTCTTCACGCATATATTATTCTGAAAATATCTATATTTTCACAATACTGTTTTTGGTTTGCCATTTAGGGAGTTGTTTTACTTGATGTTGATTTCCATTCCAATAAATCTTTTACTTTTACATATTAATAGATTTCCAAAGTACGTATTATTCTTGATTCATGGAAGATAGTTTGTATTATTTAAAGTTACTTTCCCTTTAAAATTTAATACAGAGTAACTTTTAACAATTTTTATATAAAAAAACAAGAAATTCCAAAACAAAAATAGCTATACGGAGCGTTCACGAATCTAAATTTCCTCACGAATCTGAAGTTAATATCCAAAATCTAAAAACACAGCACGTACAGTGGTGAGGAAGTGAGGATTAGACCTCCGTCCTCTGGGCTTTAACATTTTAAGTGGGATTCGACCATTTCTATGAGGTAAGTCTATTTATGAAAGGAAATGTTTAACATGTCTATTTTCGAAAGGAAATTTAAAAACTGAAAAAAGTGATATTATTTTTTTTTTTTGGTCTAGTTGTGAAAAATTCCCTCTGAGTTTGGACTGATTCTGGCCCAGATAAACAAAGCTGCATATACGGTTGCCAAATTGGGCCCTCGAGGCTGGATTTCAATTGCGGATGGGATATCCAATGTTAAATGAGCTGCGGGGGTTATTACGTTAGACATTTTGTCTTTTCTTGAGAGGTTTTGGTTCGGTCCTTCTCTCTACTTGTTTGTTTTGGTTTGATTTATTACAGTGGGGCAAAAGTCGATTTTGGTGGTTTGCTCACCGGGACAAAAAAATATATATGTGTGTGTAAAGTAATTAACGTGAAATATCAATTGACACGTGAAGAGTAATTCAAATTTTACACTTTTTAGAATTAAATCGATATAAGTATATTGCATAACATATAGAGTCTATATAATTAATGAAAGTTGTAATATCTATCGTGCTCTAGAAAAATATACATACAAATTATCGGTGATAGAAATATACTTGATATTGTATGGTACATGTGTGATATCTTAATATTTAACGGAGTTTTTTCTATATAGAATAACCCCTTTTTGGTCAAAAAGTAAGTAGGCCATTTGGTTTTGTGAGAATTAGGTGGAGATGTTTTGTATTGTGGTCAGATTTTTAGTATTTTAGAACATTTTTAATACTACGTAATAGTTAAGCATTTCTCCTTTCAAAAAATGGTACTACGTATCTTATGACATGGACGCAAATTACTCATGGATGTATGCATAAATGGTAGTCAAGAGACCCAAGATATTCAACCTCTCCTTTATTTATCCTCAAAACATGATAGATTTAGACAAGCTTGCCACCTTCTTTATACATATTCTATAGATAGAGTACAATACAGGCACAAATCCTGAAGGATAACATAATCTTTCATTTTATTAATAGTAATTATTATCATCATCATTATTACTTAGTATAAACCAAAGTGTATATAGCTTAATAAGCTTAGCCATAAACAGTGATTATTCACACACATATTGAGAAACAACCCGCAAGCACTGGCCTCCGATCCCTCTTTATTTTCGATGTAAGAAAGGTAGCATGTATATCCTGTGTTAATTGCAACAAACAGTTGTCAACTCAAAGCATAATTTGATGCATAGATTTGGGTTTAATGCCCCAAATATGATACTAGTACTAGTATATAAATTTTTAAGCAGTAATCACTACAATTAAAAAAAATGCATCAAAACCATTGACCCATGCGCCTTGTGTTTATTTGTGCACCTAATATCGAAAATAGACGGCACATGTCAGCATGACATTTATTTATCAGCCCGCCTTATGCATCAAAATGCATTAAAACCATTATCTAAGGCGGGCTATCCAGATGCTAGGATTGAAACCCCCAAATTGAGGTTTCTACTTCAAATGAGCTACAACTCAAGCCAAAATTAATACTCCGTATACGAGAGTGTTATATTAGAGTGAGGATTAGGATGCTCGATTCACCCATAGAGAGAGAGAAAAGAAGTTATTGTTGGTGTGCCAAGTTAAAAAAAAAGAAGAAGTTGGCTCCATATAAACTAAAGAACTCCAATTTCTTTAAAATGGTATACCTTTTTTAATTATGATCCTATTTTTAAAAATAATATATCAAAAATAAAGTTTCATATGAAGGAGATATTTAGGCTCAAATTTTTTCTTAAGTAGATCCAAATGTTAAAATTAAGATCTCATGGATAATATTTTTTCATCTTTTGGTTATGTTTTTAAAAAATAGGTTTGAAATAACAAAAAAAAATGTTACGTTTATTATTTTTACATTGAAATGTTTGACTTTTTAAATCACAATTATTGGTAAAAATAAAATTGTCACATAAATGATGTGTCATAAAAAAGTAAGGATCTATGCATTTAGTTCAAAGAAATATGTGCTAAGTGAATAATATATTGACGGTGTTGTGTTGCGGGGAAAAACTGGATGTCAATAATAGTGTGATGATGTTAGTGATGAGACTTACAATAATAGGGGACGATCTTCCAGCGCTGATTGTCACCTTTAGTCCACTCCCAGTTGACAACGGTAGTCCCATCACGGACACCGCCGTGATCTTCGTCCCCGTGGAAAGCGTCGAAGTTGAGGCTAATGTTGTTAACCATCCTGATTGCTCTGTAGTCTTCACCGGTATCCTTGCTTTCCGTCCATAAGATGGATTGGTCAAGATGATCGGGAATGTACTTCGTCAATTGAACCTCATGGATCAAACACAAACAAATTAACCAACTATACCCGAAATACCCCCAAGGGTTCAATTCATAATGAAAATTTTAATTCATAATAAAATCATTAAAAAATCGTAAAATATAATATAAAATCGTACGAAAATAATAAAAATCAATAAAATATTTATAAAATTAAAATTTAAAAAAAATACTAGTATTTTTTTGTTTTTTTTTAAATAATAAAAAATACTCCATAGTAAAAACCAATAAAAAAAATAAAAATATGGATATCCTTTCCGCCGGCTCCCAGCAACACTACCACCTCCGATCGGTGAAAATTCTGTCACATTCATAAGAAATGTCATTTTTTCTGAAAATATAAAAGGAAAATAAGATAGTTTCACATTCGATTTTAACCAGCTCAACCAGAACCTAGACCGAACTCAGACTACCAAAACTCGATTCGGACCGAATATAATGAGCTTTGTTCCAGTCCCTAAGTTTCATAACCCGAGACCTTACTCGTAATTTCAGGATTTATTAGCAAAAACCGGATCTAGACTTGACCGATCCCATCGCTACTCCTATGACGAAAATGAATTAATGAACCGTTTCACTTAACACCAGATTTAAAATAAATGAAGCCGGTGTCGCACTGTAATCCATCAATAAATAGAAATGAAAAAAAAAACTTTTTGAATAAATACTAAATAGACACCGAAGTGCAGCTATAAATTAAATACCGGTTTAGTCGCAGCAGCAGCATGCTTGATGGCCTGTCCTGTACCTTTATTCACCAAAGCAAAGCTTGGTAACCCCTCATCATCCTTTACTTTTGTGCTGTATTTCTCCTCCTTGTACCAGTGCTGGGAAAAAATTAACCCCCATTTAGTAATTTTAGCATAAATAAATTGCAATTTCTTCCTCTTTTCTATATTTTTATTGTTGTTGTGACAAGTTACAAGAATCTGTTCTTCTGTAAAATTAAAATCTCATTCTTACCGAATTTTCAACTTATGATATTTTAATTTGGATTATTTCGGAATTGGGATTTTTACATTCATAAATTCCTAAAACATTCATAGATTCCTAAGATATGACTACCAAACTTAAACATCAGTCTGTATGAGTATGAGTACCTTAACTATTGATATTGTTGCATTTTGGTACATTAACTCTTAAATGAATCAAAATGGTACCTTATGTGAGGAAATAATGGCTTACCCTATCGGGATTCAGGAGCACAGGGGATTAGGCCGTGGCTATGGTGGTCAGCAGCACGACCTATAATATTCTATTATAGGCCTGGGCTATCGTAGAATATTATAGGCCCATGGCTATAATATTCTATTAAATCTAACCGTTTTAAAGGGTCGTTTAGAATTGATTCCGTTGTACTTCTATTAGTTTCTCAGGAACTCATTCCCTGCTTTATAAAATTGGTTTTAGGAGCAATTTGGAACCTTTGAAAATCTTCTTACCTTTGAAAACATTTGGGATGTTTTTACTTGGACTGTAATTCGTCCCAGATCAGATCAGACCAGATCAGACCGGATAGTTATAAAAATACAAAGAGAACGTATCAGACCAGACCAGCAAATTACGGTCCAAGTAAAAACATTCTTGAAATGAACAACTTTTTTTTACCTGGTTTGGATCGGATGGATCAGAAAGGGCAAGAATGACATGTCCATGGCGGATGGAGAGGCAGTGATTAGTATCCGCCCGACAATAAATCTTATAAGTCCTCCTCTCACTGCTGCCATCATCATAGTGAGGAGGATGAGTAGTATGGCTCTCGTAGTGGGAGACGTGGTGCACGGTGATTGGTCGTTCCGAATCAAACCCGTCACCCCCGTACTCGAAGTTCTCGCGGTCATCTCGCGGCGGAGGAGGGAGCTCTTCCTCCCGGTCGTGGTGGTGGTGGTGGTGGCCGTGGCCGAATGGTGACGACATTTTTACAGTATATTTCGTGTTTTATTGCTCCGGAGTTCAGCAAGCAGAGAACAGAGTGACTCTGTTTTTTCATAGGGATGGAGGAGAAGGCGGGGCTTTATAGTGTGAAATTACATGCATGTGTATATGGACTGTCGGCAGCTGGTAATCGAATGAGGGGTAATATTGTATTTTCGGTTGGAAAAATGTTTTTTGTTAGCCATTTAGTAATGTACGGTTATGAAGTAACGGTCAGTCTATGTAATTTTTGACGCGCTTTTCAATACGAGTTATTCAGAAACAGTATCTCTGTACTTTAGTACAGGAGTAAGACTGTATACATCCAACCTCTTGATTCACGATTGGTGGAAGTCTTTGCGACATTGAGGTAAGGATGATGATAGATAATGACGATTTAGTACAGTACGGTCCCACACCCATATCCATATGAGATTATGAGCGATTATACGGAGCAGGTGAGCAGTTGATCTCATCCATAAAAAAATATCAATGTAAATCACGACGGGTCTGTTTGGCAGGAGTAGGTATGAAAACTCCAATCAAAGTTTGAAAGGCATGTTACTTAATCTCTACTTTATCTATATCAATTATTAATATTAGAGTTTTAGTACGGTCAACTGATCGTGTATTGTGACTGGACAAATGACCTATACATGAATATATTTTTGTCACCCTGCATTTAACGAATTTTTCCTGATCAAAGGCAATTTTCTTTCCGATAAGAGTAATCATTCTGTCACTTTATATCTTATGAAGATGAAAATGGAGATACATTTACTAATTATCACTAGTATTAATTTTACAGGTCAAAAGTATACGTGTTAATTTTTACTAAACATTATACTCATGTTTTAATAAAAGTATTTGCTCACATGCTAGCATTGTTCTTTTTGTATTTGAGAGCTTCCTTAGGATGTTTTTACATGGAACGAAACTTTATGGTCCGGTCTGATATGATTATTATGATCTGATTTGGTCTAGTTTGGTTTGATCTAGTCTATTCTAATATGGTCTTGTCGAGTCTAAACTGATTGATGGATAGTCTACCCGGGGTATATATCCGAAGGGTTTTTACGGGGAATAACTTAAAGAGAAGTCAGAGCAAGTAAGTAAAAGTAGAGAGAGAGTGTATTCAGTATGAATGCCGTTTTCAGCGTGGTTACAAATGGGGAAATGGGGTGCTATTTATAGTAGCAATAAATGCCGGGCAGGGACACGTGTCAGGCGCTCATTGGCCGAGGGGTCACCTCAACTGGTTGGCGCTGGCAGCCGCATGTGGCCGCATTTAATGCGGCTGTTGGATGGGACGTCTGTGCAGGGTACGGTGATCTGTACGCATGTGAGGCGGATATCTTGTCGAGTGAGATGCCTTTGGCCATAGAGCAGTAGCCGAGGGCTCCTCCAACCGATGGCACCCTGGTGCCGAGGGCTCACAGTGCCGAGGGCTACTGTTTTCGCCGTTTTCTCCCAGTTTCTTAATTTGCTTGAGAAACCCGTTCTGCGAGAGTTTAGAGCCTTCGGCCAGGGGGGCGAAGGCACCCCTGGCGCGTAGTGTGGGCTGCTTGGTACTCTGGGCGCTGTGATTTGGGCCTGTTGGACCTTCTGGGCCTGTTGGGCCTCTAAAGAAGTAGTAGGAGTCTGTGGGTCGGGTGTTCCCGGGCCACATACTCCATCAGGAGTCCCTCACTCCTTTTGCCGAAAGGTACTTGAGGGAAAAGGAGTAATTTGTGCTTGCCCTTTGATGTTGTCCCGTCGTGATCTCTGAAGTTGGTGAGGAGTTGTTGCTTTTATGTCCCTGCCGAAGGCAGTCCCTCAGTTACCCACATGTCGGGACTTGAGGGCTTTCCTTGTCGTTTGTTGGAATTTCACTAATTTTGTAATTTAATGATTTTCCCGAGGGGGTCCTCCAGTCCCCCACTCCTTGAGGCACTTGTAAAGTGGTGAAAAGGAGTAGAGTAGTTGCGTTGCTGTTGTGGGCCGAGGGCTGACGTTTTTCGTTTCATTTTGGGGGGATGCCTCGTTAAAAACCTCATTAGGAAAAACCCTTTGGGAAAAAATCCTAATGAGGGAAAAAGAGTGCACCGAATTCCCCTAATGATGAATCGAAAATGTCAAACCTTGGTAAAAAATGGAGAATGACGGGAATGCCGAAGGCTCTCTCTTCTGAGGGCTCCTGTGTTTATTAGCCGTAGGCTTGCTGTTGATGTCCTGGTGGCGCCGAAGGGGAGCCCCTCAATTCGGGGATCGAGGGCCTGCTGGATGAGGGCGGCAACGGAGTTGTTACCGGGGGGTCCACTGTTTGTTGATTAGTTGGTGATGAAGATACCCGAGGGCTCCCATTACCTGTGTGCCATGGGTCATCCGTCAATGAGGCAACTCCCCGGGGGCTACCCGGTTTTGCAGTGCTGAGGGGGAATCCCCGAGGGGTGCCCTGAGATGAAGCCCTGGGTTTCTGAAGGAGTGATCCCGAAGGCGTCTGTTATGTGCTGTGTGGGGCACAACCCGGGGTCACTTCTGAGTGAGTGTACCCGGAGGCTATCCTTGATGAAGTGGAGTGAAGTAGAAAACCCGGGGGCTTCCAGAATATAGCCGTTGGAAATATAGCCGTTGGAATATGTGACGACAGGATATAGCCGTTGGGGGGGTGGCACACGTGGCGTGTGATGGCTGGCTGTTCGTGGGCGGCGTCACCGGTTGGGTGAAACGACGGTGCGTAATGATGGCTTTGGCTGCTGGGAGCCCGGATCTCGGCCCAAGCCCGGATCTGGGAGCCTATAAATACCCCAAGCCAGGGCCATTCCTCCGTTACGCCTCCACATCTGTAGCGAAGCTCTGCAAAAAATTCTAGAGAGAGAAACTCAAGCTTTCGGTCAAAAATTCAGCTTTCAGAGGTCAGTTCTCCTTCCGCCCTTAGCTCCATTTGAGTATTTCTTTTGGCCTTAGGGTTAGTCTTTAGGACCCTTCAGGAACCCCCCCTTCGTACGAGTTTCCCGACCCCTCGCCCTTTAGAAAGATGTCGTCAGCTAGTGATTCCCAAGACATCTCCGGGGAGGCTTCAGTGAACGTTGAAGTGCCGTCTGACGTGGAATCCTCGAGCGAGCAGCTCTCGGCCATTGATGATAGGGCCGTAGCCGAGGCGGTACAGAGTGACCTTCAACTTGAGCTCGAGGCCGAAGACTTCGAGCAGGTGAACACGGATGAGGAGCTTGCCATCGCCTGTCAAGTGGCCGAGGACGAGGCCCAGAAGGAGGGCCTGAAGGTGACTGTAGCTATCCCTCCCCCTCGGTGTGGTACTGAAGCTGGGAGCTCCCGGCCTATAGACGTTGTACCCCTCAGTGTGGCCCCAGGACAGAAGAGAAAGAAGGCGAGGGTGACTCCGAAGAAGAAGCAAGCTGCCGTCGACGCTGGCCAGCCACTGGGACTCCCCGAGGGCTATTCTTTCCTGAATACGGCCGCCTTGGAGGTCAAGAATAAAGCTACCTGAGGGGAAATGATGGCGGTGCAATTTTCGGTAGGGCCTTCGGCGCAAGTGGTAGAGCCAAAGCCGGATGACGTGCTCCTTCGTGCCCCCGACGGCTGCTTTGCCGTGAATCTGCTTTCGGTGGAGCTGGGTCTCAGGTTTCCCCTTCATCCTTTTGTGTTGGAGTACCTCCGTTTTGTAAAGCTAGCCCCCTGCCAGTTGACCCCGAACAGTCACTCATATCTGGCAGGGTTCCTGTCACTGTGCCTAAGCCGAAGGGTCCCCCTACTCTGGAGCAATTCTTCCTGTCATTCAACTTATGCCGGGGGGGGGGGGGGGGGGGCATTCGAACGCCGGGGGCTATGGTAATCTGCAGCAACTCCCGAAGTTCAGGATCTTTGATGAGGCGCCTTCGTCTCACAAGGGGTGGAAAGACAAGTTTTGCTATATCCGGTTGGCCGAGAACCCCTTCTCCGCTCCGCTTGGTGACAGGTTTCGGCGGCACCCGAAGGCAGAAGGGTATGCCCTCGAAAAGAATGGGCGGGTGTTGTCCAAGAAGCCGGAGGGTTCCGATAAACATGTGTCCATCAAAGGCGCAACGCTCTCCAGTGAGTTGTACAAGCTTGGCTTCCGTCGGTACCGGCTGATGGGGGAGAAGGAGGAAGGCTACCCCCTGATTGACCGCGTATATGAGAGTGCTGAAGGTTGTTGTAATGCCGAAGGCTTTATTTCTCATGCTTAGAAAATTTTCTTCCCCCTTCATATTTTTTGCTTTGCTGTAATAGTGAACCCTTGTGTGCCTTCTTGTGTTTCAGGACCAAACATGGACGCTCGGAACCTGGTCAAGCTGAAGCGGCAACTTGCCCGAGAGGAGCAGAAGAAGGAGGCCCCCGCACAGCAGAGGGCAGTCGATGAGATCTTCCCCAAGGTGGGAGCGGCCGAAGAGGCCAAGGAGGCGGGGCCCGTATCGGAGGCCGCCGTCGGGGGCTCCCCCGGTCTGGAGCTGAAGAGAAAAAGGCATGGGAAGGACCCGGCACAACCGTAGGGGAAGAAGAAGAAGAAGGGGGCCCCGGAGTCGAAGGAAGCCCCCGTTGTGGTCGTAGAAGAATCTTCTCCTCCCAAGCCTTCGGGTCAGGCAACTGATCTGACATGGCCCCTGGACAAAGTCCAATTTTCCATTACGAAGGGGACTGCTATCATGCACGGGACCCTGAACCCGAAGGAGTTTTTGAGGGGTGCCACCCCTCCGACCGATAAGTCCGTGCTCTCCCGTCAGGCCGACGATGTCCTCTGCTCCAAGGTTCTGATGGCCTCGGTTACGGTAAGTTTCCTTCCCCCTCTTTTGTAGATAACTTCATTCTTTACATGAGTAGTGGCTAACCCTCCGGTAATTCATGTCTGCTTTCAGGCGAGCCTTGGCCTTGGCGAGCTGGTCCAGAGGATAGAACAGCATGACTCAGAGAAGAAGAAGGCCGCTGAAGCACTGGCCGAGGCCCGAAGGCAGCTCAAGGAGGTCGAGGACGCTCGCAAAGCTGAGCAAGAGGCTTTCAAAGACATCCTCGAGGGCTCCAAGACGGTGGCCAGGGCCGAAGGTAAAGCAGAGGCAGAGAAGGCTGCGGCAGATGCTGCCAAGAAAGCCGCGGAGGATGCCGAGGAGGCCCGGATCAAAGCTGTCGCTGAAGCCCGGGAGGAGGCTGTTGCTACTTTTGCCGAGGAGGGATGGAAAGCCGAAGGTCGGCAAAAATGGGTGGCTTCGGTGGTGGAAGCTTCGGTGGACGAATGGGTGAAAGGCCCAGGCGCCATGTGGTTGGCCCGAAAGGGGAAGGAATATTACGACGGGAGTGAGTACTTTACTCAGGCCCTCGTATATCGAAGGCTGTCCCGGAATTTTGGGGTGGACCCGAAGGCCTTTGATCCGACATCCTATGGCCTTCCTCCCCTTCAGCCAGACCCCAGGGTTCCCCTCCCTGAAGGTGTTGCGAGGCCTGACTTGGAAGACTCCCAGCTGATGGCCGAGGGCAGTGACGAAGAGGAGGAGATTGGTGATGATGCCGTGTCCAAGCCTGCAGTAGAGGACGCCTCCGGGAATGCCGTCGAAATTGTTGAGTAATTTTGTACTTAGGAATGTGTGAACATATTTTGTAATGAACAACATTTATCCTTCGACTTCGGCCTGTTTGTAATTTTACACTCACTCCTGTTTTTGATGAATGCATGCTGCCTCCGGGCTTTTCACCTTTGAATGCGCCCTGTGTTTTGAATGTATGCCTTCTCCTTTTTGAGTGTATGCCTTCTCCTTTGAACGTATGTTTTAGGACTTAGAATTTTTTCTGATTGTAGCCTGCCCTTGGAAGCCTTCGGTAGTTGGGCACCCCCTGCTGGATAGGCAACCGAGGGTTCAGCAGGAATTGGGACTTAGAAATTTTTTCTAAGTGTAGCACACCATAGGGAGCCTTCGGGAGTTGGCATCCCTTCCTGATGTGTGAATATTGGACCGAGGGCCCAATGTACAGGACTTATATTTTTTTTTTTTTGCAAGTGTAGTATGTCACGTAGCCTTCGGCTACTGTGGAGCCTCAACTGAAATATTGAGTAGGCCGGGGGCCAATTCTTTAGGACTTAGGAAATTTTCTTGAGTGTTGATTCCTTGTGTAATGTAGCCTTCGATTGATAGGCAGCCTTCGGCAATTAGGTCCCTTGAGATGAGGGTGAAATATGTAGGACTTAGAAAATCTTCTAAGTGTAGAGTTTCCCTTGGGAGCCTTCGGGAGATGGCATCCCTCCATGATGTATGAGTAGCTGACCGGGGGGGAAAATATGCAGGACTTAGAAAATATTCTAAGTGTAGATTTTCCCTTGGGAGCCTTCGGGAGATGGCATCCCTCCTTGATGTATGAGTAGTTGACCGGGGAAAAACATGTAGGACTTAGAAAATATTCTAAGTGTAGATTTTCCCTTGGGAGCCTTCGGGAGATGGCATCCCTTCTTGATGTATGAGTAGTTGACCGGGGGGAAAATATGTAGGACTTAGAAAATATTCTAAGTGTAGATTTTCCCTTGGGAGCCTTCGGGTGATAGGTGCCCTCTGACTCCATATCACTTTGCCAGATGCCCGGGGGCTGCTCATTTAGGACAGAATATATTTTTTCAAGTGTTGTTGTATTGCATGACCTTCGGCTACCATGTTCCCTTGGCTGTAGAGGGAGAAGGGTGTTTCACCTGTTGCTCGCCGAGGGGTGGTGCGATAGGCCCAAAGGATGTTGTGGAGTTCTTCCACCCAGCCACCGCCCTCGGCCTCTAGCTTCTTTTTGAGGCCCTCGAGCAAGGTCTGGTTGGCATTCTCTACTTGCCCGTTGCCTTGAGGGTAGGCAACGGAGGAGAAGGTGTGTTTGATGCCCCATGCCTCCAGAAGGGCACAGAAGGGGGCTGCCTCAAATTGTGTCCCATTGTCGGAGATGATCTGCTGGGGGACGCCAAACCTTGTGAGGATGTTCTTGAGGACGAAGTGACGGCACTTCGCCTCTGTGATGCTGGCGAGGGGTTCAGCCTCCACCCACTTGGTAAAGTAGTCGACGGCCACGATGATGTATCTGTTGTTGGAGGTACCCCTCGGCAGAGGGCCCACAAGGTCTATCCCCCATCGAGAAAAGGGGACAGAGGTGCTGATGGGGGCATAGTTGACCGCTGGCCTGCCGGGAGCTTTCTGGAAATGTTGACATACGGTGCACCTCCGGGCAAGGTCAGCACAATCCCTGGCCATGGTTGGCCAGAAGTAGCCCTGGAGAATGAGCCTTCGGGACATGGAGAAGGGTCCCTGGTGAGCTGAGCAAGTGCCACTGTGCACTTCCTCCATTGCGACCTCGGCTTCATCTGGATGAAGGCACCGAAGTAGCGTGCCATTGTAAGATCGTTTGTAGAGCCTTCCATCTTCGATGGTGTAGCTGGGAGCCCTCAGCTTTGCTAGTTTAGCGCGGGCCTCATTTTCGGGTAGCTGCCCTATGGAGATGAAGGCGGTGATATCTGAGATCCAATCCTCCTGACGTTGTTGTATGTTCATAACGGGGCTTGCATGGATGCTTGAGAGGCTGAGTTCCTCGATTTTGGCAATTTTGGAGATGTGCTCGGGGGAGTCGGCCGAGAGCTTAGATAATATGTCGGCCTCGGAGTTCTGAGCGCTCGGTATTTGAGTGAGAGAGTGTGCCTCAAATACCTTAAGCAACTCCTTGGCCGCTTCCTTGTACTGTTTCATTCTCCCCTCCTTGGCCTCATATTCTTCGGAGATTTGGCCAACGACCAACTTGGAGTCGCATTTGATGTGGATCTGCCGAGCCCTCATGTTGGCAGCCAGCCGAAGGCCACATAGGAGGGCCTCATATTCGGCCTCATTGTTGGAGACCTTGAAGGAGAAGCGGATTGCATAGTAGGCCCTGAAGCCCTCGGGAGTAATGAGGACTGCCCCTCCCCCGCATGCTTTGGTCGCGGAGGAGCCGTCAGTGTAGAGGGTCCACCAGTCGTCCGAGGTAGCCGAGGGCTCCCCGTCCGTGGCTGCCCTTGCGGTACACTCCGTCACAAAGTCCGCCAGGGCTTGGCCCTTGATGGCAGGCCTTGGGCGGATGTCAATGCTGTACTGGCTCAAGAAGATAGCCCATTTCACCATGCGGGAGGAGCTGGTGGGGCTCCTCATGAGGGCGCCGAGGGGTTGATGAGTGAGGACCTGAACCGGGTGAGCCTGAAAGTAGTGGCCCAACTTCTTGACGGTCCAAACGATGGCCAACACCGTTTTTTCCACAGGGGAGTACCTGAGCTCGGCCTCCCTTAAGGTCTTGCTAACGTAGAAGATGGCATGTTGGGTGCCGTCTTCCTCCCGAATGAGCACAAAGCTGATGGTTGCCGGGTTAACCCCAAGGTAGAGGTAGAGGGTCTCCCCTACCTTGGGTTTGGAGAGCACAGGAGGTGAAGATAGATACCGTTTGAGCTCGTCGAAAGCCCCCTGGCATTCTGGAGTCCATAGAAAGCCAGCCGTCTTCCTCATGATCTGGAAGAAGGGTAGAGACTTCTCCGCTGAATTAGATAGAAAGCGGTTGAGGGCTGCCAGGCGGCCCGTCAACCGTTGGACTTCCTTCACATTGCGTGGGGGCTCCATGTTGATGATGGCCTGGATCTTCTCGGGATTGGCCTCAATACCCCTTCGGCTCACCATGTAGCCCAAGAATTTGCCCCCTTGGACGCCGAAGGTGCACTTCTTCGGGTTTAGCCGAAGGTTGAATTTTTGCATGATGGCGAAGATCTCCCGGAGGTCGTCAGCATGGCTGGAAGATTGTTTGCTCTTGACGATCATGTCGTCAACATAGGCCTCCATGGTGCTCCCTAGGACGGCTTGAAAGACCCGGGCCACCATCCGGGTGTAAGTGGCCCCCGAGTTCTTTAGGCCGAAGGCCATCACTAGGTAGCAGAAGATGCCCTCGGGAGTCATGAAGGCAGTTTTTTCGGCGTCCTCCTCGTGCATGAAAATTTGGTGGTACCCTCGGAAGGCATCGAGGAAGGACATGATCTCACACCCTCAGGTCTCATCCACCAGTTGGTCAATGTTTGGTAGAGGGAATGGATCCATAGGGCACACTTTGTTGAGATCGGTGTAGTCCACGCACATGCGGAAGGTAGGAGGCTTCTGTGCGAGGACTACATTTGCCAGCCATGAGGGGTATTTCACCTCCTTGATGTGCTTAATTGAGAGGAGCATGGCGACCTCCTTCTTCACGAATTCCCTCCTCTCGGTGGAGAGGGATCTCCTTCGTTGTTGTACTGCTTTTGTCGAGGGGTCCACCGAGAGGCGGTGGGTGATGACCCTTCGGCTGATTCCCGGCATGTCCTCCGGCCCCCATGCAAAGACAGTGGAGTAGGCGCGGAGGGCGTCGGTGATACCGGTCTTCAAATCTTCAGGGAGCTGGGATCCAATCTTCACGACTCTCTCCGGCTGGGTCGGATCAAGCGCAAAGTCTTCTACGTCCTCGACCGGTTCAGCCCTCGGCCTTCTTTCCTCTTGGTCGATGGTTCCGGTGATGGTGTCAACACGGAATTCTGTCTTGCTCACCTTCTTAGTGACCTGAAGATAGCAGGCGCGGGCAATTTTCTGGTTCCCCCGGGAGTAGCCAATGCCCCCCTCGGCGGGAAACTTGAGGCAGAGGTGCCTCATGGAGATGATGGCTTCGAGGTCCTCGAGGGCTGGCCGGCCGAGGATGATGTTGTGGGCGCAGTCAATGTTGACGACGACGAACTCCACTTCGAGCTAGGCTCTATGGAGCCCGTCGCCGAAGATCACCGGGAGGGTTATTACCCCCTCGGAATCAATAGTATCGCCGGTGAAGCCGGCAAGAGGGGTCTTAATGGGCCGAAGGGACCCCCTCTCCAGATGCAGCTCTCTGAAGGTGCTGAGGTACATTACATTGACGGAGCTGCCCGTGTCAATGTAAGTTCGGTGAATGATGGTGTCGTTTATCTCCGTCCGAATCACCAAGGCATCCCTGTGAGGAGAAGAAGTAGGAGGGAGATCTGCGTTGGTGAAGGTGATGGGTTCCTCCCTCAGTCTTTTTACCGGGGGCATATGAGTGACTTCCCCCACGTAAAGCGATTGAGCCCACTTCTTTCGTTGGCTGGTGGAATCGCCCCCTGTATTGCCACCGGTGATCATGAGGATGTGGCGTTTTTTCTCCTGGTAGTGGGGGTATTCCTCCTCCTCTTCTTCCAAGTTTCCAATCTCCCTCTTCTTGCCGAGGGGGATGGTATTCGGGTTTACCCAAGCATTTACCTTCGTGTGGTGCCCTCGGGGAGGCCCCTGATGAGAAGGTCCCTCTTGCCGAGGGCTCTGAACAAATTGGGACAGGTGCCCTGCTTGTATTAACCTCTCGATGGCTGTCTTCAGCTGATGGCAGTCATCGGTCCTGTGCCCCTGGTGCCGGTGGAAGCGACAGTAGGGGAACTTAGGGTTGATAGCGTGTACCTCCAGGGGTGCGCGAGAGTCGCGCTCAACGAGGCCCCTCTCCTCGGCAAAATCGAGGATGATGCTGACGGGGTGCGTCAATGGTGTCCGAGGGCGGTCCAGGAGAATGGGATGTGCCCAAGTCTTAGGGTTGCTCTTATAACCTCCCCCGGGCTTGGCTTGGCCTTGCCGCGGGCGGTCATCATAGGGTCCCGAAGTCTTGGGGTGACTTGGAGGAGCC